GCCAGTTCAGCTACCAAGGTTGTCTTGGCGGATGGTTTTGGCTTGGACGCATCCCTGGGCTTTGCTGACCAAGAGGAAGAGCGTTGGCCTGAGGATGATGATGATGAAGATAAAGGCCAGCCCTTTGATGGGCCTGAAGAGTTGAAAAGTAGTTTCGCTTCCGCCTCAGAGGGCATTGATGAAAACACAGAGGTGTCTCGTGCTGAATGGGCCACTGCCATGTTGAGCGTGGGCATCCCTCGCGCGGCTGCCCTGGCAAGTTTCGATGCTGTCCTGGAAGAACTGGGCGGCGGTGAGGTAAAAGTCAAAGACCTGGCTGCTGAGCTCAATGGCATGGGTGGCTCAGCAGGCGTTGGCGAGCTTCGTGATCCAGTTGGGAAGGTGAAACAGGGTCAGGTGGAGCTCATAGATCTTGAGACACCAGCAGAGGAGGTAGAATTTGAGCGAGATTTAGCCAAGAGAACAGGCATTGATGGCTTGATCTTTGACCTGATGTATAACGACAGACCTTTGGAAGAAGCTGCAGAGTTCTTTCCAAAAGCGAAGCTCTCCGAGCTTGAGAGAAAGGTGCTTGGTGAGATGAGTGAAGAAGACTTGGTGAAGGCGAGGTCACTCGGGTCGGGTCGGGCTCTTTGTTAACGGAGACGAATCAACCATTGCTAGGAGCAAGGACGCTACTAGGAGCAATCGCCATCGCTACTAGGAACAAGGACGCTGCTAGGGGCTCCTGGCCATACTACTAGGAACAAGAAGCTATTAGAAACAAGAAGCTTAGAATTAGTATTCATGTCAATTTATATAATTAGAATTAGAAGTACACTTAAATAGAATTTAAACATATATTTAAAGCCCGCTCTGGTCCTCTCCTCCTCCCTGCTACTTGCTTAAGGAGGCCGCTACTCAATTAAGTAGGGGAGTAAGCTGCTAGCTACTGGACGCAGGATAGCGCTCGCACTATTGATTTGGTTCCTAGATTTTTAGGGAGACTTAATTCACATTATCATTGATCATGTTGTGCTTCCTTTCCTTACCTTCCCTTCGTCCTTCTGCCCTTCCGTCCTTCCTTCTTTTCTTTCTTACTTTGTTCCTTCGCTTGACAAGAGTTGAATTCTAAAGTAAGTGAGACTTCAACACTGTGACTGCCGAATGCTTGGAGCATCCAACAGTACGATTTCGGACTTTCAAAAGAGAACTAGTAGCTTCTTGTTACTATATAGTCGTAAGGCCAGGAGCCCTAGTAGCATCCTTGCTCCTAGTCGTAAGGCCAGGAGCCCCTAGTAGCGTCCTTGCTCCTAGTAGTAAGGCCAGGAGCCCCTAGTAGCGTCCTTGCTCCTAGTAGTAAGGCCAGGAGCCCCCAGTAGCTTCCTTTTTCCCGAATGCGTAGCGAAGGGTTCTCGTTTAACTCTTGGGGGTCTGGGGGTAGAGCGTTGTTCGCGACCCGTTGTTTCTATGTTCGCAACCGTCCGCAACCGTCCGCAACCGTTCGCAACCGTCCGCAACCGTTCGCAACCGTCCGCAACCGTCCGCGGTAGAGCGCTAAGGCGCTGCCATTGGGGGAAGCTTTTGCAAGTGACTATTCATGGATGTGTCACGAGTCAGTTTGCGCCGCTATTCCATTGTGATTTGCATGAAAAAGACATGTCGCGCAAGCAACGTGATGCGTCTCGCTGCACAGGCGCAGCGTTTGGTGAGATCTACAGATTGCTGCGCAGTTCCATTGGGATTAGCGTTTGGAGAGTCGTGTTTTTGGGGTGTTGGATGTGGCCGTGCCATTGGGATTTGCGTTTCAAGGTGTGGCATCGAAGCTCTGTTTTCGTGACAGGTCTCAGCTGAAATGCCGATTTTGGTGGATGGGAGTCTGCTCAGAACGGGTCGAAAGCATTCCAAACGTGTGGCGTGGTGCAAATTTTGTTGAAGCTCACATGAGATGACATTGTTACTTTTCGTGGCAGGCGCAGGACTTTGTGCGGGTTTTGAGGTGTGGAAGTGGGATTTTCGTGGCAGGCGCAGGGAATCGTGAGGTTGCGATGTGTGACGGAGGTGACATTTCGTGGCAGGCGCAGTACTTTGTGCGCGTTAGACGTGTGGACGCGGAAAGATTCGTGTAGAGGTGAATGTCGCTGTCACATTGGGATTGGCGTGTGAGCGGGTGTCGTTTGGAGGGGCTGGAATCGCGAAACTGCTTGGCAGGGCTGCGTGATGTGTGTGCTCCGATGGGTGTTTCCGCTGGACTTTTGGAGGAAGTCTCGTGCGAAACGTTCGTTTGGCAGACTTTGATGAGTTTTTGAGGAAGTCTCGTACGAAACGCTCGTTTTAGGGACTTGACATGTGAGTTTTGGAGGAAGTCTCGCACGAAACGCTCGTTTTGAAGACTTGACGCGTGACGTTTGGAGGAGGTCTCGTGCGAAACACCCGTTTTGCGAAACGCTCGTTTTGGAGACTCGACGTGTGACTTTTGGAGTAAGTCTCGCGCGAAACGCTTGTTTTGGAGACTTGATGTCAGAGTTCCGGAGGAAATCTCGTGCGAAACGCTCGTTTTGGGTACTGGACGTCGGAGATTTGCAGGATGTCTTGCCCCAAGAGTGTCCTACCAGAGGGTGCCACAAGAGTGTCCCACAAGAGTGTCCTATAAGAAACTTGACGCGTGACCGTTGTCTCGCTCCGCCATCGAAGAAGCTCGCAGACATCTGCCTGGTTTTCCAGCCGCGGAACACCTACCGCGACCGACCCACAGAACGCCAGAGGGTCGCTTTCACTACGTCCCAGGGGCTTGGACGGCGGCTACGAAGGCGAGCGTAGTGACTGAGTTCAGGGGAACCAAAAGGAAGTACGACCCCACCAAGTGGCGTCAGGAACACGGGGCTCTGCGTGTCTTTGCCGCCGAAGCTGGTGGAGGCGGCGATTGCTTCTTCTTGTCCACTGCGGTCGTGCTGATGCAGGCGCGGGCAGTCCACCTGCGACTCTTGAATCTTTTCACTTCCGATGAGGTGGCTGACTGGGACGACCGAACTACGGTCGCGGCTACTCTCCGCAAGATTGTCGGGCGACGCATGCATGCCAAGACGCCAAAAGCATTCTTGAACTTCGTCGTCGGGTGTTTGGTGCGCGAAGCTGCGAGGACATGGCTGGACGACTGGTCCATGATCACACTCTTGCGCGGCTCTCCTTTTGCTTTCTTGAAAGACGCCAACGATGTCCTCGGAGCAGAAGTTGTAGACGACACCATGCTAGTTCGCTACAAAGAGGGCGACAGCTCCGTGACGAGGAGCAAGAGAGTGCGTTCTGGCACTGCGGCCCTGGTGTCTTTGCAGCATGCCGTGAGTGCTGCTCTCGAAACTTGCGGGAATACTCATTGGGCAACAGACATCGACTTTGTTGCGTTGGCCACAGAGCTCAATCTTGGCTTCATCATTGCTGGAAATACTTGGGCCCAGACGTCTGTTGTTCGAGGCCCCGGACACATCTAAAAAACGTTTCGAATTGTAATTCTTCTCCTTTCTGACTCGTGTTTACAAAAGGCCGATGCCAATGTTGGACTAATGACATGACCTATAGGATAGTTTTACTCACTTCCGTTGTGTGTCTCTCATATACTTCTTGTTGATGCAGGTGAAACACAACAACGCACGGTCTTGCACTCCTATTTACAAGAAGAGCAGACGCCGCGGAAGGATCAGGGCTGCTCAGCATGATGAGCTGACAGTCATGGGCTCTCATCAAACACGTTGCATCAAGACACCATTCCAGGAATGTTGTATCGATATCCGAAAAGTCTCGTTCCAAAACGCCAAAAAGAACCTAATAGCGATGGCCTCCACCCAAGTAGCGATGAACTCCAACCTAACAATGATGGCCTCCAACCTACTAGTTACTAGTGATGGCCTCCAACCCAAGAGCGATGTTGTGTCGATATCGCTAAGTTTCCCAAAAAGTCTAGGAAGCAAATCATTAGCGCGAGCTATCCTGCGTCTTAGGTAGTAGCTACTTAAACTACTAGCTACCTTACCTCCCTTAATTAAGTAGGCGCCTACTTCATTAAGTAGAGAGAGAGGGGGGGAGAGCGAGCGGGCCAAATTGGAAGGCCGTGGCAAAGGGCTTTGAGTCCTCAGAGACCTTGAGCGCTGTGGCATCATGGCAGAGGGCCCGTGAGAATTGCCAGCGTGAGATTCAAGAGATCATCGACCGATGCAAGAGTGAAGGCACGCAATTCATCGATGACTCCTTCAACCCGTTGGAAAATGAATCAACGGTGTTGTATGTGGACAAGAAAAAACCCGGCTATGATTGCACGGTAGACAAGCCGCATGGCTGGAAAAGACCAGCAGATCTATACCATTGGACAAAAGAAGGTTCTGTTGTCGCGCAGGATGGTGCTCAGTGGTCAGATGTCAAGCAGGGCTCCATCGGGGACTGTTTTGCCGTTGCAGCCTTCGCAGCGATGGCAGCCTGCCGGAAGTCTTTCTTGCGGCAGGCTTTGGTCGCATATGACATGGAGGTCGGTGTTTATGGTGTGATGTTCTGCGAGGAGATGCATTTCACCTATGAGATTTTGGATACTCTGTTTGGAGTAAAAGACGGCGGCACCCTGGCATATGCGAGGTCTCCTAACTGGGGAGGTGAGCTTTGGGTATCAATGATTGAAAAGGCCTATTTCAAACACATGACGTGCCTCGAGATGTGTGATGGAGGAACAACTGCAGAGACCGTTTTCTCCTTCCTTGGCGGTGTGTGGGGAGTCTATCCAATCACAGATACGGATTTTAGCCATCCAAGCAGGTATTGGAAGAAAATCAACACAGGACTTCACAAAGAAGATACATTATTTTAGAAAAAGCATTAAGTTTTGTTGTTTGTTCAACGATTTCTTTTTTGTTGTTTGTTCAATCAACACAGGACTTGAGAATGGTGAGATTATGACGAGCGGGTTCCATAAGCCCAGCAAGGGCAAGTACGCGCATGGAGAGAGCGGACCAGATGGCCAGTGTGGTGAGCATGGTGCTGGAATGGGCCTCGTAGAAGGTCACGCCTACTCGGTGCTGCGATCAGGCGAAGTAGACGGTCACAAGTTGATTTGCTTTCGAAATCCCTGGGCACACAGAGAAGCTTTGATTAAAACAAAGAGATTTCATTCAAGAGCCTTTTGTTGCAAACAATCGTGTTGAAGCCTTTTTTGGGGGTGTGTTTGTTCGCTTGTGCATTTTGGCGTTTGCCTGGGGGTTGATGGTTCAGCATGTTTTTCCGAAATTGCAGAACGTAGTTGAAGTAAACAACGTGTGAAACGGGAAACACGTGTAAAATGTGTTTAAGAGCTTATTCAAGGCTGTTGGGCTTGGAGGAGAAGAACGTGTTCAATCGTTAGTGTCCAGTGGACAGTGCCTGAAAGTGCAAAGGCTCACTACGTCCTAGGTTTGCAAGGACTTGACTCTGCTTTATAAAATTAAGATTGCTGAAGGGTTTCAATCATCTCATGAACCATTGCAACATCGTGCCAATCCTTCACTACACCAAAATAGAGTTGCTGGTGACGCATATTTTGAGCAGACAAAACAGGCAAGGGGTGGTGTTTCTCCTAAAGTGGACAGAGCCACGATTAGGGGTACAAAATCATTTACACAAACGAAGGCAATTTGCGCAACTTTCAAACTTTGGGATTTCTTGGTGCGCTGCTGCGTCCTCTAAATGTACCGTCAAATCAACCCTGGATTGGAGGACGCGTGGGCATGGGATGTGACTAGTAAACTCAGGTAGAAGTTGTGAATCAGTCGAAGAGCCACCTAAACTAGTGATTAAAGCCAGGCCCTGATCGAGAAACCTGGAACCTTAGAGCTCTGTGACCGCAGCCAGACCCCAATCGGAACTCTTTTTTCAACTGTCTAGTCCAGCCCTACTTGATTTGCATTTGAGATCCGGCTGGAGGTTGTAAGAGACCGAGCAACCTCATAAGTACGCGTAAGCTTATCTACTTTCCAAAGTACTATTTATCTGGGGTTTAGGCCTGTGCTTCTGGGCAATGTTCCAACCGACTTTGGCTTCCTGAATTTGATCTTGACTTTGTGCCAATCAGAGGACATGTGCAAGGACAAACGAACATATGCGAACAAGAACAGAGGAGACAAACAAAACCAGAAGGAATGCCCCCGCATGGTCACCCACCCATATGGCACCCCTGGCCGACTCATTGGAAAAATGATGAAAAATGCACGTTCTCGAAGCGGCTTCTAATGGGGCACCTCAGCTGTGAGTCAAGTCATGCAGGGCAAGTTGTGTTTACAATTGCCGATGGCCTCCAACCTAATAGCAATGACAAGTCTGATTTTTTGATTGACATCAACCACCAAGGAATGGACAGGGCCCTGGTCTGATGACTCAAGTAAGTGGACCGATGAGCGGAAAGAGAAATTGGGTCACAAGAAATCGAACGACGGCGCCTTTTGGATGGAAGATGAGGATTGTGTTCAGGTCCTGAAAAGGAGCGAGAAAGTACAATTTGCGTTTTATTCCCGAAAGCATTGCGAAGGGTTCTTCCGGAAAATCCCTTGAACACTGACACTTCGACACTTACACTTACACACTGACATTTCCACACTTGCACTACAACATGAAGACATGAACACACATGAACACTATACGTACCCCAGTGTAAGTGGAAGAGCGAAAGCATCCAAGTGCACACTATACGTACCCCAGTGTAAGTGGAAGAGCGAAAGCATCCAAGCGCAAAAGTCTGCAAGTGTCAAAGTATGCAAGTGTAATGATGCAAGTGCAATGATGAGTATGCAAGTATGCAATGAGCATGCAAGTGTGAGCATGGAATGGAAAACTAGCACGGGAGATGTCCAAATGAAAAACATTTCCCCACTTTATAAATTCTCTCTTAAAGGCGGAGGGTGGGACGAACAGCGTCAACCGAAAATGCAACCCTCTGCGGAGATCGTGCGCGTCGAGTGCGCGAAATGCAGGCGAGAGTGCGATTGGTGCGGTCCGCGCGCAACCCTCTGCGGAGATCGTGCGTGTCGAGTGACGAAATGCAGGCGAGAGTGCGATTTGCCGGCTGCCCGCGCAACCCTCTGCGGAGATCGTGCGTGTCGAGTGCGCGAAATGCAGGCGAGAGTGCGAGTGAGTCTGTACGCGCGCAACCCTCTGCGGAGATCGGGCGTGTCGGGCGCGAAATGCAGGCGACTTTGTAATACAACTTTAGTACGCGGAGTATCTGGCGAGTTGGAAGATGAGAACTGGTGATTTTGTAGTACAACTTTAGTACGCGGACTAGCTGGGGAGCTGGAAGCTGAGAACTGGCGACTTTGTAGTACAACTGTAGCACGCGGAGTAGCTGGGGAGCTGGAAGCTGAGAACTGGCGACTTTGTAGTACAACTTCAGTACGCGGAGCAATCCGTGGAGCTGGAAGCTGAGAACTGGCGACTTTGTAGTACAACTTTAGTACGCAGTAGCTGGGGAGCTGGAAGCTGAGAACTGGCGACTTTCTAGTACAACTTTAGTACGCGGAGCAATCTGTGGAGCTGGAAGCTGAGAACTGGCGACTTTGTAGTACAACTTTAGTACGCGGAGTAGCCGGGGAGCTGGAAGATGAGAACTGGCGACTTGGTAGTACAACGTTAGTACGCGGAGTAGCTGGGGAGTGGGAAGATGAGAACTGGCGACTTTGTAGTACAACTTTAGTACGCGGAGTATCTGGCGAGTTGGAAGATGAGAACTGGTGACTTTGTAGTACAACTTTAGTACGCGGACTAGCTGGGGAGCTGGAAGCTGAGAACTGGCGACTTTGTAGTACAACTGTAGTACGCGGAGTAGCTGGCGAGCTGGAAGCTGAGAACTGGCGACTTTGTAGTACAACTTTAGTACGCGGAGCAATCTGTGGAGCTGGAAGCTGAGAACTGTCGACTTTGTAGTACAACTTTAGTACGCGGAGTAGCTGTGGAGCTGGAAGCTGAGAACTGGCGAGTTTCTAGTACAACTTTAGTACGCGGAGCAATCTGTGGAGCTGGAAGCTGAGAACTGGCGACTTTGTAGTACAACTTTAGTACGCGGAGTAGCTGGGGAGCTGGAAGATGAGAACTGGCGACTTGGTAGTACAACTTTAGTACGCGGAGTAGCTGGGGAGTGGGAAGATGAGAACTGGCGACTTGGTAGTACAACTTGAGTACGCGGAGTATCTGGGGAGCTGGAAGATGAGCGCTGGCGACTTTGTAGTACAACTGTAGTGCGCGGAGTAGCTGGGGAAGATGAGAACTGGCGACTTGGTAGTGCAACTTGAGTACGCGGAGTATCTGGGGAGTGGGACGATGAGAACTGGTGACTTGGTAGTACAATGACTTGGTAGTACCAACTTTAGTACGCGGAGTATCCGGGGAGCTGGGAGATGTTTGTTCCAATAGGTGCCTGCTTCTGGTATCCCTGCAAATTCCCATACAGGAAGCGGGGCAGCAGGAGCCAGAGGTGCAGCGCCTGCGAGATGGACATGGCGAGGGAGGCGCGGCGTGGTTGCGCGCCGAGCTGGATGCGAAGAGCGCTCCCGACTTGCGCAAGCTGTGCGCGAAGTTGGAACTACCGCAGCGTCGCGACGGCGCAACTCTGCGGAAGGAGCAGCTGCTCGAATCCATAGTGGACAGCTTCTCATCGCAGGAGGGATGGAGTCAGGGGATGGGCGTAGAGCGGTGTTCAACTTTGCGTACAATCGGTTTTAGTTGAAGTAGGTGGCTGCTTCTGGTATCCATGCAAATTCCCACACGGGAAGCGGCGCATCCGAACGTGGAGGACGGTGTTGTGATTTGTAGATGTGTTCGGGGAAGAAAAAGATATCTAGATATAAGACTTCCAACCTTTGTTAGGGATACCGAACCTGTGTTAAGGGATGGGCGTAGTGTACAGCTCAACTTTGTTGAGAATCTGTTTTCTTTTGTTCCAATAGGTGTCTGCTTCTGGTATCCCTGCAAATTCCTATACAGGAAGTGGGGCAGCAGGAGCCAGAGGCGCAGCGCCTGCGAGATGGACATGGCGAGGGAGGCGCGGCGTGGTTGCGCGCCGAGCTGGAGGCAAAGAGCCGCGCCGACTTGCGGAAGCTGTGCGTGAAGTTGGGACTACCGCAGTATCGCGACGGCACAGCTCTGCGGAAGCCAGGCCACCGTTGCCATCTTGCAGCACCTTTCTGCTTTGAATGTTCTGTTTCCAGCTGAAGTGCCAGAGACTTGGGCCACTGCGATGGAACAACTGCAAAGCATCAGATGGCCAGACCGTTTGTCTGGATTACAGTGCATTAGTTTGCTGGCTGTGTTGTTGGAGAATCGTCCTCTACAGCGCAGAGGCCTGGCACGTGTGGACCGGAATTGTTTTTTTGGTGTGTGATGTTTGTTTGGCTTTTATTCGGTCGCAAACATATATATAGTCTTCATCGAAAATATGTTGGACGCAAGGTTGGTGGCAGTTGGTGGATTGCTGGGATCGCGCAGATCCAGTGGATGTAGCAGAGCGACTGTGGAGCCTGGCCACATGTCATCAAGCTGGACCAGCAGTGGAGCCAGACAGTGGCTTCGAGGATCGAGAAGATGTTTTGGAGGTGGATCGGCAGCATGCGTGGGACGTTTGGAAGATTTACTTGGACGTTTGGTTCGGAGAAAGGAGTTTCTGATTTGATTGGTTGTTCGTTTGCTTTTTTTTTCCCGTGTCTCTGTGTGCAGGCGGTTCTGGGCGCACTGAAGCACAAGCACAAGAGTCGTGGATATGATGAGGCAGACAAACTCTTGTTGCGCAGCTTGATGCGCTACGGCTGGGAAAGACATCTGGACGAGAGTGCATCGTGCATGTGGATGGAAACCTTTGAAGCAGTCAAGAAGGTAGAGGATTGTTCTCGTTTTGCTTGGTTTCTGTTCGCGCACTTGTTACACCCTGCTTGGACATAGATACACACACAGAGACCCACACACTACCTCAACTCACTCGACTTAACACTTCACACTGCACACTTAACAGATAACTCGCACTCGACTTCCTACGTGATGAAAAATGTTTTCGGGCCACTCGTCGTCTAGTCTCTCTATTTTTGTGCGTATTTATACACACATTTTTTTTACCTTCTTATTTTTTGCGTTCAAGTCCTGAAAAGGATCCGCTTCAACCGGACTTTTGGGCCAACTTGGCAGTGCTGTGCTCAGTATGGACATTTTGGCAAAGCGCCACCCTACACGGCAATGGCCAAGAATAGCTACCGTGCCTGTGAGGATGATGAGATCAGTTTCAAGCGCGGAGATGTCATTGAGGTCACAAAAGTTACGGGAGAGACATGGCTCGTGGGAGTTCACAAGGAAACAGGGAATAAGGGATACTTCCGAAAGAAGGATGTGGATCTGAGATGTGAAGATACCTTCAAGTACGAGCTTACGGTATCCAATGTCTCCCCAGATGCTCGCATCATTGTCGGTGTGTTTCGCCAGAACCAGAAGAAGATGAGGGAGTGGTACAAGCGCAGGGATGGCATGCACTACAAAGATACCGACTATCCGACGGCATACTTGCACATCTATGACGCATCCGGCAAAAGGCTTGTCAAGCACAAACTTACGGACGACGACCGATGTGGATGGAAATACTTGAAACCTTCAAGGGGGCCTTTCACCATGTACATCGCTTGCAAATCCACCCAACACAAGCGCTTTGCCCTCTATGCATTTGCTCCTCATGGGCAATTGCGGTGGAAGCAGCTCGAGTGCGACCGTGGGATCTTTGCGTCGGAGGTGGGAGGAGCAGGAGGCGCGGTGCACGAAATTCGAGAGTTTATCTATGATCAAACCCACACCGTCCTCAATGAGTACTTCCACCTGGGCAAGGAGCTTTTGAGTGGAAATCCCGAAATTGCTGGAAAAATCATGGCAGTGGCCTCTACCGTTGGAGAGATCATCGACGCTGAGGGAATCCGTGATGTAGCTGAAGATGCGGCCGATCAGGTCAGGACATTGATGAATTCTGACGAAGTTCAAAACGTGACAAGTCAGGTTGGTGATCAGGCTCAGGAGCTTGCCAATCAGGTTGGCAACTTGATGAACAGGGCTTCCTCGTGGTTTGGTTGAATGAAACGCACGGACCGAGACGTTCTTAATTACAATTATGTCCAGTTTCCAAAGGAAATTGTGAGCGTATCACCTTATGTTTTCTCTGATCACGGGCAAGAAAGCTCGATTCAGAAAAGCGCAAGCCGAGTAAAATTGTTGCACATTTGCAGCTTCAAGCTCTTCCTGTTCGAACGACACACCGTCACCTGCTTTTCATCTTTGTGAACACGTGCTTGTTAACCACTCACATGGATTATTTGTGAACGCGCTCAAGCAAGAGCTGTGGTGGGACACCTCCATTTCTCGCTCAGTGAACAAGGCGGGGACACAGATTTGGTGCTTGGATCTTGCCAGAATTTGCTGATCTCGGGCTATTCCTCAGTCTGGTAGCTGTTCACTGCGAATGGTTGAGGCGACCCAGGCGACCCAGGCGACCCAGGCGATGGCATTTGTGTCTCTCCAATCGGACTTCCGTGATCCCAAGAGCCACTTGAGTCTCGGTGTGATAATTGGGCCCTTGGGCCCTTGGGCCCGGCAGAGCTGAGCGTAGAGCGGAAACAAAGAAAGTGTAACGCAGCTGAGTAGCGGGTAGAACTGTACAGCATTCTGGTCTACTTTTTCCATCGGTTTGCAGCTGTTGATTTTGTCTAGCTGGCCAAGGACCCATTTCTGCCATCGGTACTGCCAAAGACCCATCGTTCATGGAGTCTTGGCGTTTAAACATGTAGTCCAGGAGCCACATCCTAGTAGCGTCCTTGCTCCTAGTAGCGATGCCAGGAGCTACTAGTAGCTTCTTGCTCCTAGTCCAGGAGCCACATAGATGCTGTCATGCAGCGTGTTGTCTTGCAGCTGTCACAGCACTGTTCTTTTATTTGCGATAAAGGCGATGTGGAGTACTTCACATATGAGTCTCTGAACTGCAAGTTGCTCGCACATTTTTTGGTTTCCAATGCTTTTACTTTGTTCGAGATTCATTTTCTCGTGTCTCAGCCCACATTTGTCCAAGACCCGTTTACAAGGTAGCAATTGACTGCCGTCAGATCCCGACCCATGCTCATCACTTTCGTGCCAACTCACTGAGCATGGCAGTTTCACAGCTGCCTGTTGCTCTGAGCTATGAAATTTCTCCACGTGATTGATCCGAGGTTGAGCGAGCAGCACCACAGCTGCAACAGATCAGGTTACTCATATTTAGTGCAGACAGAGGAACCTGGAGAATAAGCCTTCAATTGCGTGCAGCGCAGCCATGATATATGTGATATGAGCACGGTCCAGATGAACCAAACTGTGCAAGCATGTACCCAATCACATGTGCTCCAAACATCGGCCTTGCAACAACACAAAGTCCAGGAGCCACATCCTAGTAGCGTCCTTGCTCCTAGTAGCGATGCCAGGAGTGCTTTCTCCAGAAGTGGAACACCTTTCTAAAGCCTTTCTGGTGAACACTTGATATTCACTGTTTGTCATCACCAATCTTCGTTGGTGACTTTACGGTGTCGGCACTTTGGCTGTTTCTCTGAGGTTCCAAGCTGTCGTGATCCTGCACTGCATGAAGGCTTCCGGCATTTCTGCAAAACATGTTATATAAACAATGTTTTCAGGCGTTTGTTTCTAGAAGCGATGGCCTCCAACCTATATAATAGCAATGGCCATCAACCTAATAGCAATTCTTGAACATGTTATATAAACAATGTTTGAGGCGGTTTTTTTCCCAGATAGCTGAAGGTTGAAAGTTGTAAAGGTTCTGACTTCTCACCGGCGTTTTGGTCCACCGCTGCCCCTGCTGCCTGGTCTCCCAGCTTGCCCCGTTTGTCTCCCCACTTGTCTCCCCATTTGTCTCTTCACTTGCCGCTGCTTCGTTATCTCCCTTACATGAGACGAATGAAAGGTGAAAATTGGTTGTCTCCCTGCTTCTCTCCCACTTGCCGCTGCTGCCTTGTCTCCTTACTTTTGTCTCCCACATTCTGCCTGTCCTCCCCATTTGTCTCCTTACATGTCATCCCACTGCCCACTCACGGTCAGGGGAAGCTCTCAGGGATCTTATTGTGAGGTATGTGCTATGAATGATCTGATTTTGGGTCTTACGCGCTTCTGTTTTTAGAGTGAGTCGCTATCTGGGGTCTATGCTGGTGTAGTTTTTGACTATTTCTTGGCTTCGAAGGCTTCGTTGCTTCGGACTCCGGCGACTCGCCAGGGCAATGCCTTCCCTGGCCGTGTCAGCAACCAGAAAGAGGCAGAATGGTCCGGGCCTTGAAGCGATTGGAAGCAGTTTTCGGTTGATGTGACTTGGATTTGTTTACAGCCTACCAGGGTCTACCACGTTTTCTCTTTTTTTGTGATTTCTCACTACTCTTGCATCATGGCTTTGCAGAGAGGAATTGCCAGGCGTTGCGTCCCCCATCTCGACAAGAAACTACGCAATCAGCTCAAGCGCATGCCAACTCTCAAGGTAA